GAGACCCCATCTCTACTAAAATTAGAAAAACTGAGGCAAGAGGATCACTTGAGCCCGAGTTGGAAGTTACTGTGAGCTATGAAGCCACGGCACTCTCCCCAGGGCGACAACTTGAGACTGTCTCAAAAAATATAAGAATTATGGGTTAAAGAAGAAATATAACTGCTTATTTTATAAACTGGGTAAGACAAGATTATTGGTGGCCATAAGCCTCTGGTAATGATTTTGGGGAGCCAGAGTAATTAGGAAGGTCATCTTGCCTAAAAAGAGATGGTGAATGTAGAAAAGAAATCATCGTTTCCACATGCTGCTGCTTTAAGATAGTTTGTATCTTTACATGAATCAGAAGATTAACAAGGCACACAGGTCTTTAGGTGCAGAGCAAATGGATAATCTCATTAAGCAGGTGGCCCTGCCTGGTCCCCAACCCGTTACCAAGTCTCCATCCCTCAAACATGCATTTTTTTCCAGATGAGGAGGAAGAGGAGGAAAACCTAGATGATCAGGATGAGCAAGGCAACCTCAAAGGCTTTATCAATGATGATGATGATGAAGATGAAGGGGAGGAGGATGAGGGCAGTGACACGGGTGATTCAGAAGATGATGTTGGCCACAAGAAGAGAAAACGCAGTAAGTACTTTATCTTCAGGTCAGGTGAGGATAGTGTGGAAGGTGAGGTGGGAAAGGGGCCTCCCCATCACTAACACTTTATTTTCTTCAGCATCTTTTGATGACCGCCTGGAAGATGACGATTTTGACCTCATCGAGGAGAATTTGGGTGTCAAAGTCAAACGAGGAGTAAGTGTCACTCTTTGTCTTTGTAAAGCTCCTGCAATTTCAGTGTATCTCTGAGAGAAAGGGCACATCTAGAGCAGTCTGGGAATATCAGAGAAGAGAAGAGAAACACCAGTGTCATTGGTACATGGAGCCTAGATTTGTGCCTAGAGAGAAAAGGCACATCTAGAACAGTCTGGGAACATCAGAGAAGAGAAGAGAAACACCAGTGTCATTGTTACATGGAGCCTAGATTCGCATCCCAGATCTGGGTGCCTGTTACAGAAAGGCTTGTCAAAGTTTCAAGGATGGTGTTCCTTGGGGCTGAAAGCATTACTCAGCATATTCGTTCCCATCTTCCTTGGTCAGCATAACTGGGGTGGGGAGATGGGAGTGAGGCAAGAGAACAGGCATCCTAATGCCAGACCCCTCAGACCTAATGAGGCAAGTTTTCCCAACCTCCTAGCAAAAGTACCGCCGTGTCAAAAAAATGTCAGATGATGAAGACGATGACGAGGAGGAATATGGCAAAGAAGAACATGAGAAAGAGGCTATTGCAGAGGAAATCTTCCAGGATGGGGAAGGGGAAGAAGGGCAGGAGGCTGTGGAGGCTGCCATGGCTCCTCCAGAGGAAGAGGAGGAAGATGATGAAGAGTCAGGTATGTGGCGTTCAGCAGGGAAGCCAGCATTTGGATGAGTGTTGGAATTTCCTGGCCCCTAGGAACAGGGTAGGAAACTGTTCTTCAGCTATAGCCCCCAGCATTCAACACAAAAAGTTTCTTTTCAGGGACCTCCCTTCACCTCTCCTCGCAGGCAACCCACATAGTAGAAACTAAAGCGATTCAGTCCTGGGCCAGCTCCTGACTGAGCACTAACTCCTCCTTTCTCTACCCAGATATTGACGACTTCATTGTGGATGATGACGGACAACCTCTGAAAAAACCTAAGTGGCGGAAAAAGCTTCCCGGATACACAGATGCGTGAGTGGGGTTTGGTACAAGAAGGTGGTAAAGCATTGAGTGGGCCCACTGAGGAAAAGGAGGTCAAAGGGCACTGCAAAAAAATGGAGCATTCCCAGCTTACAGCCATTTTACTTCCATCCCTCAGTAACCTTTCTAGGCAGGGATTTCAGACTGCCCCAGAAGCCCTAGGAGATGTCTCTGTTCTAGGGCTTAAGGTGGAATCCTACTTGAGCAAGGTTTCAGTGTTCTTCTTCCACCTACAGCTCCATTTTTATTCATTTACACATTGACCTTCTAAGTATAATTATGTTGGAAGAAAGATGGCTACATCTGGCTCCATGCCTATAGCACAATGGTTACACACATACACCAAGAGTGGCAGGTTCAAACCCAGCCCGGGCCCGCTAAACAACTGCAACAACAAAAATAGCCAGGCATTGTGGCAGGCACCTGTAGTCCCAGCTACTAGGGATGCTGAGGCAGAAGAATTGCTTAAGCCCAAGAGTTTTAAGTTGCTGTGAGCTGTGATGCTACAGCACTCTACTGAGGGTGACATAGTGAGACTTTGTCTCAAAAAAAATATATATATGTGGTTACATCATAGATTAAAAATTTGAAAGCTTTTTCTCTTAAGGGAATGCTGTAATACCTTAGCAAAAGATGGATCCACTGAGTAGGATATAGACCCATCTGCCTTGTTGCTATTTGAATCCTGTCAATGGCAAGAGCTAAAGATAGCTTTTTATTCTCTGATATACAATAGTTTACTCAGAAATATCCCCCAGCAATAACTAAGAAAAAGACATGAAGGCTATGTTAACCAGTTGGATGAAAGTATTTCAAATGGTATACAGAAACAGTATACTGTACCCCATGATAGTATTAATGTACACTGCTATGATTTAATTTAAAAAAGAAAGAAAGAAATATCCCCCAGCTAATTAAGCCTTTTTCCCCACAATGAACATGGTTCTCTTATTTGCCTTTCTCCTAATCTTCTTAGTTCCCTTGAGACAAGTAAAGGAGCAGGAGCTGCATTTCTCTCCTCTCACCTGAACCTGAGCCACTGCCTCTTGGTCTCACCCACAGAGCTCTGCAAGAAGCCCAGGAAATCTTTGGTGTGGACTTCGACTATGATGAATTTGAGAAATACAACGAGTATGATGAAGAGCTGGAAGAAGAGTATGAGTATGAGGATGATGAGGCTGAGGGTGAAATCCGCGTGCGCCCCAAAAAGACCACCAAGAAGCGTGTGAGCCGCAGGAGCATCTTTGAGATGTATGAGCCCAGTGAGCTGGAAAGCAGCCACCTGACAGACCAGGACAATGAAATCCGAGCTACTGACCTGCCTGAGAGGTTTCAGGTAAAAAACCACCTGCCTCTGCATTTTTGCCAATCAGTCATTGCCTTGTAGCTGAGAAACAATCTAGCAACAGTCAGACATTGAGTAGTATCCAGGATGGACTTTGAACCTCATCGGACCAAGGGTCTAAGGAGTTCACCTCTTAGAGGAGGGAAGATAGGTGTGCGTTCTGTTGCTTATGTTTCCTGAGATGAACCTCTTTCTCTAGCAAATCGATGAAATGCTTACACCAGTCAGGATGGTACTGTGTTTGGTACTGGAAATGCATGCCCAAGGATCACGTTTCTGTCCAGAAAGGTGTATGTTTTTCTTTAGTGGAATATAAGATTGAGACAGTCTTGCTCTGTTGTCTTATCTATTACAGCTCCGCTCCATCCCAGTCAAGGGGGCTGAAGATGATGAGCTAGAAGAAGAGGCTGACTGGATCTATAGAAATGCCTTTGCCACACCAACCATTTCTCTCCAGGTACCCAAAAAATGATCCTTAGGTTTTGCCATGAACCAAAAGCCACTTCATCTAGATAGGGAACCACTCCTCCCTACCACATACTTGAGTGTGCCTGGCACAAGAAAGTATGTGTCTATGTGCATAAGAGAGATTTTTTAAATTTTTATCTGACAAGGTTATGTTATGAAGCAGCTTTATGTGGTAAGACAAAGCAAGAAACAGTGTCTTTAATATCTTTCTTCTTTTCTGTAGGAAAGCTGTGATTATCTAGACCGAGGGCAACCGACCAGCAGCTTTAGTCGAAAAGGCCCCAGCACAATTCAGAAGATCAAAGAGGCCCTGGGCTTTATGAGAAATCAGCATTTTGAGGTAGCATCTCACACTCCAGTAATTCGTTCGTTAGAAATGTGGTTAGGGGCTCGTGCCTAGGGCTCAAGCAGCTAAGGCGCCAGCCA